CCTCCCAGAGTGCTAGGATTACAGGCGTGAGCCACCGTGCCCGGCCAAGAGTGCTTTGGTTTATAAAGCCTTTCAATATGTATTCTCTCACTTGACTCCCAAAATCATCTGATGAAGTAGACAGCAGAGATATCAGGATCCCTCCCATTTTACAGGTGAGAACTGAGGATCTGGAAGGGTCTCCAAGGTCCTGGGCCAGTTCTAGAGCCACAGCCAAGACTCAATAAACAAATGGTATTTTTCTAACTCACCTGTCTCAGCTATAAAGATATTTAAAAATATAAAAGACGGTTAAAGAGGTAGTAAACACATCTTCTGTAAATGCATGGCATCTCTAACTTCCGTCCCTTCATCCACGTTCATTTTCTCGATGACACTTAAAAATAGAGCAGTGTTTTCAAGCTAACTCAAGGTTGGCTGATCAGGAGATCCCCTTGTCTCTGTCTCCTTTTCCTATCTAAGAGGAGTGAGCAGAAAGGTCCTGCACACGCAAGTTCTGATTGAAAAAGGTTCCCCGGGTCCTGGGGCAAAGCTGAAGGGTACCTACCGTGCTGCTTCCTGACCAAGTCCCCTCTCAACCTCAGCAGCAAACATTCTCACCTTTGGGAAAGCAACTGTTCCATGGCAATTCCTTCCCTCTGTTGATAGTCCCTCAGCAGGCTGTGGGCATGATCCAGACTGACAAAGTCCCTGTAATCGTCCTCATCTGCAACACAGATGTAGTAGGGCAGGAACTGTGGCACCACAGTGGACAAGGCCATCTGTTCCCCAGGAGGTACAGGATGAGCAGCATCCCGGACAGCATCTTGCAGGTGGAGGTGCTGGAGCTGAGCAGTCCAGTCTACATCTTTGGCACCGTTAGAATCATTTCCAGAATCCAAGGTAAGCTGTGGTGAAGGCACCTCCTCAATGTCACTTCCCCAGTCATCGGCACCTTCACACCAGTCCTCAGCTGCAAAGCCACTCTCCTGTTTCTGGAAGAATATCGAGTGAATGGCGTTCAAGCACGCTTGGGTGATCTCTCCTATTCCTTTGGCTTCAGCCACCCATCCCTTCACCCTCCTGAGGGAACCTTTGCACCAGCCCCTTTCCCTCTGGCACGCTCCAATTCAACGTTCTGGACCCCATCTACTGAAAAGCACAGCGGAGGTGACATAAACACTTCTTTCCTTTTCAGGAAAGTGTGGCAGACGTAGCATGGGGTTTCTTCAACCATCTTTCCCAAAATCTTTCTGTTGTACTTCACGCATTGCAGACACTTAGCCACTAGGGATTCAGACATGATCAGAGGTCTGCCAATCAGGTCCACTAGAGAGATACACAAACTTGCGACAGAGTGAAGTGGGAAGAAAAGCCATCGAGCAAAAGGCAGCCCGTCTGTAGATACAGGTAGAGCAAGGTTCTGGAGCCAACAGCTCTGTGACAAGGATGGCTTCTAGCTCCCCTGACCACGCCTAAGCTCCCAGACTGCAGGATAGGTAGCATAGCAGCTCCTTGACAGCCAGTTCTGAGCCGTGATTCTGGAGGTCATTCCTGGAGCTGCTTCCTCCAACCTATCCAATTAGATAGTAAAAAACTAATTCCTTGTGTTAGGTGTACCTCAGCTTAAAAGAGCCAAAGTATAGTACTTTTCTGTTATCTGCAATCAAACCCTGCCAAGCATAGGCAGCCACATCATCATCGTCATCTTTTTACTCCCAGGATTACTAGTACTATGCCTGGCACACATCAAAAACTCAGTGTACACATAAAGATGCATTTACAGGCAAAAGGAGGCTGAATTTTGTTCTGCAGCTACCAACTTGCCTGACTTTTCAATTCAATAAATACAGATTTCATCGTATTAAATGTTTGTTATATACATATATACCAAAATATATTTACTATAAACACATATATATGACACATACATCTATATACACACCTGTGTATTTTCCCAAACAGAAAAATCAGTAAACTATTGTGTCTTAAGACCTTCAGTGTAAATTTACAAAAACAACTATATACATAATGGAATACTCTTCAGCCTTAAAAAAGAAGGAAATTCTCTCATTCTCCATGTGACAACATGGATGGAAGTGGAGAACATTATGCTAGGTGAAATAAGCCAGGCACAGAAAGACAAAATGCAGTACTGCCAGACGAAGTAGCAAACGTAACAAGCCATGTTTGCTCCCCTCCCCCCACCCCCAGAAATCAGCATAATTTCACAAAGTCCCAGACTCTGTGACAAGGTGCAACGCTCTAGAAAGCTGCTTTGAAGACAAAACAGGATACAGCATGTGGACCCCACGTCTCTTGTCTGGGTCACTATGTTCCTTAAAAGATAAATGAGTCCTTGCCTTTTCTTGCACATAACTTCTGATGGGGTTAGTAATTAGACTTCTGTAACCTATAACCAGATGTATTCTTATACCCAAACCTTGATGTGATTCTGCTTTAATGTAACTTCTGAGCAAGTTGGATGTGATTTTGCAAGTACTGAACAGCCGCCACCTGTGGCCTGAAACACTGCTTTGAAGCAGTCTGCCAGAACTTCTCCTGGGCTGTAGGCCCCGGTCTGCAGTCCTCAGTAAGACTTCTGAATAAAACTAACTTTAATTCTTTACACGCTTCATTTTTTTCCTTTAGTCAACAGCATGTACTCACTTACAAGGGGAATCTAAAACAATCTATCTCATAAAAGCAGAGAGTAGACTGTGGTTACAGAGGCTAGGGGTGGGGGGAATGGGGAGATGATGGTCAAAACCCTCAGGAGGAACATGACGGGGTTTTTTAGTTCTATCTCACGGTATGGTGAATATAGTTAACAACAGAGTACTGCACAATTCAAAATAGCTAAGAGTAAATTTCAAATGTTCTCACCACGAAATTAAGTATTTTCGGTTATGTTAAACTAGCTTGATTACATTATGCCACAACCGTATTCACAAATCATAACATCATTTTGTACCTCATGCATTTTATACATAATAAACTGTTAATTTACAGTAAAAAGAGAGAAAAAGTTGAAGAAATCCAGTAGGAAGTCTCCATCTCCTTTTAACAAAGAAGTCAGAAACCATAAAAACAGACTGAAAGCAAAAAGTAAATAAATAAAAGAACTCACAAAACCTTAAGAAAATAGCATCTTATGATTCTGAAAAAAAAAGCCAAAATCCTTGTACTACAAAGAGCACGACGTAAAAGTCTGTCCTAAACGATATCCTGGAGAATACCGTGAAATTCCAGCAAAACATAACAAGCCAATCACAACCGCTTTACCTGAGCGTCCTGTGCCTCTTTCTCTCGCACCTGCAGGCACTGGGAGCGGAACACCTTCCAGCTGAAGGGTGAAGACAGCGGCCGTGAGGGTTCCACCGCTGATTTGTAGCCCCCCGCACCCCGGCCCGGCCCGGCCCCTCGGAATAACATCCTGGGAGCACCTCAGGACTTCCCCGCCTACCTGCGCGCCCCGCCGTCGCCGCAGGTGGGGCAGGCGCAAGCGAACACGTGCAGCAGCCGATGAAACGGGGAGGCTTCCAGCGGGCAGTACACCTGCACGACCAGGGCGAGGGGCTGCCCGCAGCGTTCGCACCGCGGCCTCGGCGCCGCTACGGCGGGCAGAGCATCCTGAGGGCAGGGGAGGCGCTCAGACCCCGACTCTGCCCCACCGGAACCCCGCCCACTCCCTCACTCCACACCCTTCGCCGGCACCCGCCGACCCCAGCTCCGGCGCCCATACTCACCGGAACGCCGCCCAGCTTGCTAGCAGTCCAGGCGTCCGGCCCCGTGGGGCTGCCGTACACTGCCGTGTCTCGAAGCCCGAGCAGCACTGGTTTCCGAACGGCCGCCATGACCGCCGGGCGCCCACAGGAAAACGCGAACTACGGCAGCCGAGAGGGTGTGCCGCTCTGCGCACGCGCGCCGCCTAAGACTGCGCGATGCCCCGCCCCTTAGTGGCAGCCCTTCCGGGGTTGATGAAATTTAGCTTTAAGGCCGTTGGGCTGGGTCTGGAACCGCACAGGCGGCTGCGGGTATCATGGGCTCAAAATCCAGAAGCCCCAGGCATTATGTGCTTCCTAATGCGGTGCAATAGGAAGTACACACCATTTACTATGAGGTAGTCTTGCCACAAAGCTTTCCTTGAAAATAAAAATTTTAGGTGGGATAATGGTATTATCCCTCATTAGCCAGAAGAAAAACAAGAAAGCTCTTAATTATTAGAGATACACACAGAAATATTTACAGATGAAATGATATCTGGGATTTGCTACAACATAATGGGGAGAAGGGATGTAGCTGCAGTAAGATTGACCATGTGTTGTTAATTGTTGAAATTTGGTGCCAGGTAAATGAAGCTTTATTATACTATTAAACTTTTATATGTTTGAGATTTTCCACAGTAAGGTTTTTTAAATGCCTGCAGCACAATATGGGTGAAATTCAAAAGCATCATGCTAAGAAGCCAGACACAAAAGGCTATGTTCTGGTAAAGCCAAAACTTTAGGGAAAGAAATCAGATCAGTGGTTGCCAGGGGTTGGGTTCAGGGGACGGGGATAACCGGCAAAGGGTGTCAAGAACTTTTTAGGGTGAAGAAAATGCTGTGTATCTCAATTGTGGTAGTTACACACCTGTATACATTTGTCATCACTCAGGAATTGTATACTAAAGACAGGTGAACTTTATTACTCATAAATTATACCCCGGTAAACCTGACTTTTTAGAAATGCATGTTGCAGCTGGTCCGAAGGTAGTGAGTTATCTCAACTGATTGTTCACTGTTACAGATCGAACTCTTTGTTCTACTCTTTCACCCCTTCTCACTACTGCATTTGACTAGTCTTAAAAAAAAAAAAAAAAAAAAAGCACTATTTCAGGATTACAAAGGGTGCAAAGGAAATGTATCTTTTCAAGGACCTACACCTCAAAGGAGGAAGCACCAGCCTTGGAATGTGTGGCTCCAGTTCCACGAAAGACCTAAGATGAGAGTTTACTCCTCATTTATCACTCTGCAATGACAGCTTTCAAAGGCTCTGTGAAGTCTGACCTTGATGTACACCTCAGGTCTAGCAAAAGATGTTGGATAATTTGGCAGACATGTATTATTTTAGCTGATGTTCCCCAAGATATTTTTAATTGTTGCAAGAAATAGACTCCAAAATTCTTATTCTTGCTGACATAGCAAGACATCCCCCAACAATTAGTAGGCTCTCCCCAACATCAATCATCTGTTTCCCTCATTGTACAAGGCTTGTTGTTGAAGGCAAATTTTCAGATGTTAATTGTTACCGCGGGGATAATGTACAAACAATTCTGGCATTCCAGAGGCAATTTAACGTCAAACTTGCCACTGATATTATTGTGGAGTCTTGGAACAATGTAACCAAAGACTGATTACATGTGTGAAGTATTTGATTTAATTCAAAATTGTGTAGGTTTTGCACTTTCTGATAAACTTGCACACATCAGCAAGTTGTGATACAGTGTGTATTTAAGGAAGTACAGAACAAAGATGTTAAAAGCTGCTTTAATCTCCCACTGAAGACCTACCTGTTCAAGACTTATAAATGGCAGTCATGGGACAAGTGGAAATTGCAAGTGATGACAGCGGCAGTGATGAGGGGCAGAACAAGTCAGGGCCAAGGGACATGTAGCAATTGATGTGCCAGTTCCTCCTGCATAACGAAAGACATGGGACTTGGCACCCACCTACCGAGCACAGTGGTCACACTGCAGATCCTTCACATGAAGCCAAGTTAGCCTGAGAGGTCTCTGCCCTTCTCTTGCTATAGACTTTTACTGTGCTGGCTCCTTTGTGATAGAGCAAGTGCTTCTGACAGGGTAAGGCCTCTACTTTTCATCAGCTGCGTTAAGAAAGGGGGTGGGTCAACAGGGGCCTCAACAGAGCTTGCTGGGCACAGAACATCTTCCCATTGCCTCTGCAAAGGTCAGGGAACTGGGTACTTTTGGAACCAAAACTAAAAGATAAACCAAAAAAGCTCCCCCCAAAACGAAAAACATCACTTTACCAATAGAATGATGAAAAGTGTCAATTTCTTAGCATTATTTTTAATGGACATTTGCATCTGTGTGGTCACTTTCCGTAACTAGGGTATTCCCCACTTTGAGTCTTGTAGGTGCAGTTGGCGTTCTCCTTATAGGAGCAGAAAATACTAGTCCCGGCTCTCCTGTCTCGAGGAAGGCACGTGACCAAGCCAGAGTGGAACTTGGATGTGGGTGACCCAGGAGAGGATGGGGGCAAGGCAGCTCTGAGGACAGGATTGGGGGCAGCCACTTCCCAGCCCAGCTTGTTCTGTAGCATCATCTGGGGTGTAGGTGCTGGAAACCCAGCCTCTTAGCCGGGCACATCAACTCTTTTAAATAAAATTCATTTTCTGCTTTATTGACCAAAAAATATTATTAATATCTTGAGTAGAAGATAAAAGGGCAATTTATTCAAAGCTCCTGTTTTCAATACCCACCTTATAAAAGGGAAGAACTGGCTGAGCATCTGGCTAGGAGACATTGGCCAGGAATTCACCCAAAACAGACATAATCTCAATGCCGTTTTTAAAACCACCCAGTGAACAGCAGCATAGGATTTCTCCAGGCACACAGGTGAGGAATGAAAGGTGGTCTTGGGATTTGATTACATTCTCCTGTCCTTGGGCCCCACTCTCTTCTCCACTCTAGACCTGCTCACTCACCACTTACAGTCAAGAGTCGCCAAGACACAGCACTCCTCCCCCTGCGCACTCTGACTGCTACATAAAGCACCATCGCAGGAAAAAAGAAGAAGCTGGGCCTACAACCTCCTTCGTGGCATCTTTATTTTTCTACCCAGGATGTGAACAGTGTGAACACGGGTCAGAAAAATCAGCTGCACCGAAACACTTCAGCCAGTTGTAAACCAGTGGGAGAGCAGATGGACATGGAGGAGGCGAGGGTGACAATTCCACACCAGCATCCCCCAGAGGGCCTGTGGTCCAAGCCCGCAACCAGACCTCTGGGCAGGGAAGGGCAGGACCATGCAGTGCAGGTTCTGGCACGGAGGGACAGGAAGGAGCAGGGACAACAGAGGCTGCAGCTGAGATGAGTTTATTAGATTCCGGCCTCGCGCTGCTGCTTGATGAAGCTGATCAGCCCGTTGGTGGAAGAATCATGAGAGGTCACCGGCGCGCTACCATCAAGCTCGGGCTCAATTTTCTTAGCCAGCTGCTTGCCCAGCTCCACTCTGCCATGAAGGTGAGATTGAAGGGTATGAGGAAGGTTCCAATAGTGCTGGTGAAATCCTCCAGCCCAACCCAAAGGCATGCACCACCCTCTCCTGAGCTGGCAACTCACCCCCACTGGTCAAAGCTGTTGATGTCCCAGATGATGCCCTGGACGAAGATCTTGTGCTCATACATGGCTGCAGGGGGGGCAGACAGTGCACGTCAGGGGGTCCCCAGCCCAGCCCAACCTATGCCATGCCAGGACCTTCCCCCACTCACTCACCAATCAAGGCTCCAAGAATGAATGGTGTGAGCTTGGTGAACACAATAGAGTTGGTTGGGCGATTTCCTTCAAAGACCTTTAGAAAACACCAAGGAATGTCCGCAAGTCAGTCCTAATCCCCAAACTCCCAGAAGAGAAGAACATCCTGCCCTAGGGGCTAAGATGTGTAGATCTGTGAGGACAGACCCTTCCACTGTGCAGGACCAGCCAGGGACGCCATGGTGCCCCTGCCCGGGTGCCACAACTTCACCCCTGCTCCAGCAGGCTACCCCACGGCCAAGTGCAGAAGGGCTGACCTTATGCGGCAACAGCTTCTCTAAGTCCTCTGGACTCTTTCCCGCAGCCTGCAGCTCCTTCCGGGCCTCCTCCGCAGATTTCCCCTTCATCAGGGCTTCTGTCTGGGCCAAGAAGTTGGCCAGGAGGATCTGACAAGAGACACATTATGCTTGAAAACACTGTGTGAGCTTCAGGCAAAGAGACAAGACGACCTGGCACTTCTCCGTGGGGGTTAGTCCCAGCCAGGTTCACTCGCTGCATAGCTCAGTTGGAGAGAGGGAGGACAGTGGGTTGGGGCACATCTGATGACATCAGAAAGTAACAGTGCTATTTTTTTTTTTCTTTTTTTGAGACAGAGTCTCACTCTATCACCTGGACTAGAGTGCAGTGGCATGATGACACCTCACTGCAACCTCAAACTCCTGGGCTCAAGAGATCCTCCTGCCTCAGCTTCTCAAGTAGCTGGGACTACAGGCATGCTGGCCACCATACGTGGCTAATTTTTTTCTATTTTTAGTAGATGGGGTCTCGCTCTTGCTCAGACTGGTCTCAAACTCATGAGCTCAAGCCGTCCTCCCGCCTGGGCCTCCCGGAGTGCTAGGATTACAGGCGTGAGCTGCCACGCCTGGCCACAATGCTAACTACTCTTTAAGGACTATGTTCTGCTTGCAAAGAGTCCTGCTAACAATTTTAACAACATCTGTCTTTTAAGATCCTGAGAGGGTGGCTGGGCACGGCGGCTTGAGCTCAGGAGTTCGAGACCAGCCTGAGCAAGAGCGAGACCCCGTGTCTACTATAAATAGAAAGAAATTAGCCAAACAACTTAGAAAAAATTAGCCAGGCACGGTGGCCCATGCCTGTAGTCCCAGCTACCCGGGAGGCTGAGGCAGGAGGATCGCTTGAGCCCAGGAGTTTGAGGTTGCTGTGAGCTGGGCTGACGCCATGGCACTGTAGCCCAGGCAACAGAGTGAGACTGTCTCAAAAAAGAAAAAAGTGAAAATAAAAAAGATCCCGAGAGGGAGAGGCATCATCTCTCTTCTCTAGTTGAGCCTCAGTTTCCTCAAGTTAGCAGTGGTGGATCACAGAACCACAGAGGGGAAGAATCAGAATTCAATCCCGGG